TACAAGGCCCAGTCAGTATATGTGGTTATAAATGAGTTAAGCATTGTATATGACAGCCTGGCATCTGAGGGAAAACACATACAAATTTGTGAATATCCTACTAATTGCTTTCCAGATTTTTCTACATCTTTCCTCTGGTCCATTTGCTACACTGGTTCCCTATTGCCACTCACTTCCAGTTAAAAGAAAACCTTTTTCAGGCCAAAAATTCAGTGATGGTAACTATTGATGTGGTCAAATCCTATAACCAAACCCAATCACATAAAATCTTGCTCCTACATGTTTGAATGGTAATGTAAGGCACTTGAACAAAAGCATCTACCAAATTATTGCAATGACATGTTCATGCTCATGTATACATAGGTCATTTACTGCTTTTTCCTGTCTTATATGATAACACAGTCTTGCTCAGAAGGAGGTAGGAAAAGGAGCATAGAAAAATAGACAAATAATATGACAGACAGCTTGAAAAAACGAAAGGAAGAAAGAAAGAGAGCAACAGTAAAATCTAAGTCTTCCTCTTATCACACATTCCCACATACAGCTGCTACTGACCAGATATCTTTCAGAGGAGACGCTGACCAAGATGAGATCATCTCCAACTCTAACCTTCTCTCCCTCTGAGCGTTGCTTTGATGCTGGATGGATGGTCCACCAACATGCTTCGCCTACACACACACACAGACACACACAGAGAGACAAGCCAACAGTAGTGCAGGTGATAAAACAAAAATGTGTCCATGAAACATAAACTTGTGTAATCATCTCAGTGTGTGTACCACTTTGGTAGCCTAGATTTGTCCTGCAGCTGTTCTGCTTGTACTGAAACTATACTGTTATTTGCATCATTTTCACAGAAGCAGGTCAAGAACAAGAACAGGGCAGACGGTGTACTTTGCAGCTGCATTGTTCTGACTTTGTTCAAAAGTGAGAGCTATAGTGGTGAAAGAGTAGATCAGGAGCCTGAGATTTTAGACAAGAATAAACTGTGTTGGACAACCTGACGGTATTGTGACATTAGTCCAAAATGTATTCAACAAACAAGGAGGAGATATTTAAAGCAAAGAGCAGCCTGAGTTACAAAACTGGAGTAATATGAAGCCATCCCACAATTCAGATCAGTGCTCATGTAGTCAGGCTAACCCAAGCTTCCATGTGATTTAGCTTAATTTGATGATCTGAATATTGCCCATGATGCTGATTTTTCTCTTCTCTCAAGCAAATTTTCCTAATACGAGCTGTGTTAATGTTGATGTTGATGCTGGCTATTATACCACACTGACAGGGTCTTATATAACCTTGCTAATATTCTTCATTCAAGCTTGTTATATTGAGTCTTTCTTCAAAATTCAGCCTGACATATTTGGATCTTTTGGGTCTGAATGTGAAATTAAAGTAGCATTACTATTTTTAGGGCAAAACATACCACCAGGCTGACCATCATGTCATGGTATTAAGTCAATATGGCTTCATCTTAAGAGGTTGCCAATTTCAAATTTAGAAGTCAAAATGCAACACTAGAATTAATTTGGGGTCATCTATGAACCAGCCCATATTTCAGTTGATTTGGAGTATATCAGATAAAGTCAGGGAAATCTAAGTACGAGGGTGGGCCTTGTATTGTTTCCCTGCAAGCTTTTGGCATTTTCTTGCAAATATTTACTTGAACGAGCAGTGGATAATGTACAGATGAAGAAGAGTATGTCTATATATGCAGAACTTTTACATTGCTTTGCAAATTAGAAAGAAAATTCCCACAGATCATGTTTCATGACTATTTTCTGGCAGGTCTTTAGATTTCACATCCTGTCTTTTTCACAGATCAAAATGGAGTGTCTCTCCAATGCCGTAAATCAATCTGACACCTACCTGTGGTGTCCTCCTGCAGTCCCACATCAAAAGCCAGTTTGTCTGTGGAAGACCGGGAGGTGGACAGGCAGCACAGGTACTAAACGGAGATGCAAAAATAAAACAATTACAGCACATTAACTATGAAACGTTTGTACAGCAAACCTTCAAATTGTTCCAGATTCTTAAACATTTAATGAGTGTAAGGGTTGTGCCATGTAAATTGAGCAATTTGAAGTTCTTTAAGACAACTGTGGAATAGCTGCATACTTCATGTGCATTTTATTTGTACTGGGTAGCGGAAGTGCGTGCGTGTGTGTGTACTTGCTTACCATTCCGCTGTAGGAGTGTCGTAGTAGGACAGCATGTCCGTACAGTAGCGTGCGATGACCCCCACCTTGGGCCGTCTGACAGACAAATGAAGATGCCAGTGAATAGTATGATACAGACAGAAATACCATCAGAACAGATGCAGGCAGGAACAAAGACACCATTATTGATCAACCTGCAAGAAAAATGCTACCTATGCTTTGATATTACCATCCTTACTTGATGTTATAATTATGATGATGCAGGGCTGTGTGATGAAACAAAAATCTGGATAATGATTCAGGCATCCACAGTTATTAAAACTTGATCAGTTAAACTACTGACACTTTGCAAGTCCTGCCCTGGTGCATCAAATCAAGCATTTCTGAGTCACTTATTTAACTATCTGACCAATCACAGGTATTATATCAGAACTAATTGATGATACTTAAGTAAAAGCAAAGTAAGGTTGTAGAAATCATTTTTTTGGCATGCTTCAATTGCGAGTAGGTGCTTATAAGCACCTTGATTTGAAGAGAATTAAAATTTATAAACTGTCCAACTGATGCCAGTTTGAAACTTTCACCATAAGTGACTCGTGTCACACAGATTTAAGCTCTGTGGTGGGATGATTCTTGCCAAAATACATGTTAGCAGCTGCAGTTAAAAATTGAGTGTTGAGTTGTTCTATTCAGGTCTTTATCAAAGAACCAGATCATTCAAAACACTTTTTTTTTTTTTAATCATTTGGACTACTCATGATTTAACATGTAGAGTTTAATGTTGATCCAAGCCATCGAAGCGTTACAGCAAAAGCTACAATTTCTATTGAATGAGACTTACTTCTGGGACTCCTAACTTCTAATTTCTAACTACATAATGCTCTGTAAAGTTGAGAGGGATGTAGATTCTTTCTACATACATCGCAACCAGACACACTTTTCACAATGTCACGTTGCTCTGTTTTTGCTTCAAAAATTACAGGTTTTTCTCTACAAACTGGCCCATTTTCAAGGAAACAGAGTGGCCACAAAAAGTACTAACCCGCCTTGAATTTTTTCCCCTTTTAACACTAAATCATATTCAATAGCAATTTTTTGTTTTTTTTGCATAAGCTTTTAGTACTCTTTGTTCTACTTCTGGCTTAAGATATTTCTTTAAAATGCCTCCTTAATGGTATCCTGTGATATTTAAAAATCTTAAGTATCTTACACTTTTACCCAGTATTGTACATGTATCCTTGTGCTGGACAGACAGATTAACAGTCCGCCAGTTTCTGCATAAACATAACCTAGAACATCAGAAGATTTTCACATAAGTCCTAAAAGTACGTAAGGAGAACCCGATTGAAGAGATGAGACAAAATGTTATATTTATGAAGCTAAATGATCCACTACTGCATATCTGTGAGTCACAAAATAATGTGAAGGATCAGCAGCTGGTTTGAAGGTGAGTAGGTGAGAGTCAGGTGTTTTCAATCATTGGCAATAATGACATATAGGTGTGAGTTGACCAATGTTCTATTGAAAGACCACAGATGATGTGGTTACTGTCCAGTCTGTGGTTTTTGTTCTGTTTCTCTTTCATGTTTCTGCTGTTTTCCTTTCCCCTGTGTTCTGTGTCAGTTAACCCTTATTGTTTTTCAGTTTGTTTTCGATTTCTTCCTCAACTCTTCTCCACCTATTCACGTCTTCGTCCCTACCACCTGATGTCCAAGTGGAAGAAGGAAGGAAGTGACACGACGAGAGAGGAGTCAGGGCAACAACAAAATGAGACATTGTTGTGGCCGGCACAGTGGTTAGCACTGTCACCTCACAGCTTGACCATCCTGGATTCAAATCTTGGTCTGGGGTCTTTCTGTGTGGCATTTGCTTGATCTCCCCCTGCAGCGTGGGTTCTCACCGGGTTCTCCGGCTTCCTTACACATTCCAAAGACATGCTGAGGTTGATTCCAAATTGTGAATTGTGAATGTGAGTGTCTGGTTGTCTGTCTCTCTATGTGGCCCTGCGATGCACTGGCAGCCTGTCCGGGTTGTACCCTGCCTTTACCCTAAGTCAGCTGGGATAGACTCCAGCCCCACCACGACCCCACAGAGGATAAAGCAGTATATAGAAAATGGATTGATGGATGGACATTTCAAAGCAACATGTAAAGAACAGGTGTGACACAGCTGCATCATCTGTCCATTGTTTTGTTACAACTTACTGCTGTACTTTATGAACACATCAACTTTTCTTCAATTCACAACAAGGCATAATGTGATGACAATGTGTCAATGTCATGCATTCGTTTCTGTTTTTTTTAATCACTTAGCTTATGAGGCTTATTTACTGTGAAGCATAAAAGAGTTGGACACCCAAAACAGTAGTATATAAATAGAGTGACATAAATTATGATTAACCCATATATATTATATACACACACATTAGTCAGTCTTGCTCCTGTCCTGTACATATTCCACTTATTCCAAAACCTTTTATGCCACAGGGTAAGCCTCTTCTCTCCTCACGCATTTATGGAATTAAGGCATTGTTCATCAGGCATGCCAAAATTGATTTCCAGTTCATGAGCAGCCGGAAGGAGTCAGAGGAGATGGGGACCCTAAAACGAGTGAAATGACAAGAGCCTTGGGTCTCCCCTTGTTCGTCTATGTTTCGACACTCTTTGTTTCCTTTTCCAAAGCATAATATTGTCTCATTAGTTTAATTGGGTTCTCTTAATTTACTTTTAGGTAGTGCAAAGCAATACAACTTTGTTTACATGACACTTTTAATACCCAAAGGCAAACAAAACCACTTTGCAGTGCATTCCACAGTGAAAAATCACAAAAAACTAAACGGTTACAACAATAAAGGCAAGCAACCCCACACAGTGCAAAAACAACAAAAAAACACTAAAACCAACTATTACTAAGCACACAGAATAAAAATAATAATAACCTAAACTGATTTCAAAAAAAATATTAAAAATGATAAACCGGCAGGTCTTTAGCTTAAATTTAAAAGTAGTCTGTACTATCACAGGTCTGAGCTCTTCTGGCAACTAGTTAAAGCTTAAGACACCTTTACCATGTTTAGTGTTGACCCAGGGAACAACCTCTAATACAGGACCAGTCAAACTAAGACGTGTGCAGGAAACTGGACCTGAACTATTCAGTGATTTATTGACGAGTGGAGTTAGGTTCTGAGCTTTTCTGGTCCTTGTTACAACTTTGGCAACAGCACTGAATGATTGATAGTTTTAACTGAAACGAAGCTATCAAATTAGGAGAAAAAGGTGGTTTTCTGTTCACCCAAAATTGTGTAGCCTTCTGTTGATTTGGAGAGATAGTAGGTGTTCCTTTGATAGGTGGGATGCTGCTAGGAAATCTGAAGGATCATTACATTGTTGATGTATTGTTGTGTGATGCTGTCTTGAGGGCTGATTACAGTCAAATGGAATCACATCAGTGGCAGCAACTGTAAGTATCTAAAAACAGCAGCTTTCTGGCACAAAAGTGAGCAAAGCAGCAGTCTAACATACATGTTGACATTGTGTAATAAGCTCAGTTGCTTGATGGAAACTGATCAGTCGTCTCCTTTTAAACACGTTGAACTGGACGTCAGTGCCAGTATGAAAACAACCCAAGCAGGAGGAGCAGGAGTAAGTGTTCAGTAAGTAGATTTATGTGGTTTGTACCTGACTGTGTCAACTTCTTGTGTCCCATCAGACTGGTATTTTAGCTCCAAAATGTATTAAAACAATTACAAAAAAAACTATTGCACATTCACTTCCACTTCTTTGATGCACACATGCTGTAACATGCATATGTGCGTCCACACTCACCCCGTCAGCCTTCTCCTCTGTGTTGGCCAGCATCTCCTGAAGGGCTCGTACTGACAGCGACTGCTCCAACACAAAAGTGCAGATGGACAGATCGGGAGGCACATTCTGGAACAAGAACAAGACTTGGATTATTGGGCGCCACTATAGCTCACCGGGTTGAGCTGGTGTCACATCTACAGGGGTTAAAGTCCCCGTTGCAACGGTCATAGGTTTGAGTCCCGCTCAGAACTCTTTGCTGCAGTTCCTTCCCCCATTCTTCTCCCCCCACTTTCTTGTCTCTTTCTCTGTCCTACCAAATAAAGCCAAGAGGCCAAAAAAATATCTTCATAAAAAAAAAAAAAAGACTTGGATATACAGATGTGTGGGTAAGGGTACATCGGTTGACTTTAAAAAATCCTTAAAGTGCCTTTTTGTAAACAGAAAGAAAGAAAGAAAAGAGAGAATCTTTAAACAATCATTTATTGATCTAGAATTATTTATTTATAATAAATCACAAAAACCAAGCACTGCAAACAGTGAAAAAATATTCCTTTGAATGTATTTGACTTTAATGTGTAATCGGTCCCACACAATCAGAATAAGGCCAAGTGACAATCAATTACTCAATTACTGTTTGTCAAAGCAAAGTATTTTATTCATCTTGGACAGTTTAAAGAATCACATTGATCCAATTTATTCTATTCTTGTAACACTAACACCAGCATATTGTATAACGTCAAAGTAAATTCATCAGCAGCCACGTATCCGATTTTTACAAGCCATCCCAACTTGATTTCCGAATGCTAACATTATTTATCTCAATTGCGTTAAATTTAAAGCAGTTTGCCTATGTCTCTGGTACGCTGGTTAGATGTGTGAATCTGACCTGGTTGTTAAAGTTATCGGTATCCAAATGTAGACATCATGCAATGTTGGTTGGCAAAAACAAACTCATACATGAGAAAACGGGATTGGCATGGAGAAATAAAGGAAAGAGTCAGCCCTTTTTGTTTTTTTAGTGTATTCCATCCCAGCAATGCATGTAAACGATCTACTAACAACAGTGGATTAAAGCACATATGCAACATACAAATAACACAAGTGGATTCCCAACAAAAGTAATGTGAATTCTGTTTAAAGCTTTTTTTAATGTTGTTTTTATAGTTCACTCGGAGCATCCAGAAAAAAAAGCTACAAAACCCTTTTAGACTGTTTTTTTTTTCTTTATGATGGATGAATCAAAGTTTAAATTGCACTATACTCCACACAGGACTTTTCTTCACATATTACACTTATTGTACATTTTGCATTTCATATTTTCTTATTGCTTGTTTTTGCCCATTTATCGGTATGTATGGTGGTGGTAACTCTATCTTGTGCTGTAACAACCAAATTTCCCCTTGGGGATTAATAAAGCATTTCTATCTATCTATAAATAACTTATATCTTAATAACTGGCAGTGCAATCTCTCTGACTCTTTCACTGAAAGAACCTGTTCTTGAGAGCAAGTGCTTTGTTAGAAAGTTTCCCTCCATCCAGTTCCATGAAAATCTTTTGGAATACCTCAAAGGTGTGTCAGAGGTCAGCTGGGCAGCTGAGGTTCAGGGCATATACCAACCCCAACAGCACAGCAACAGCTAATGCTACATCATCCAGATCTTGCAACACCTTAATGCCTTCAAAGACAATTCCAATGTCCTGTGGTTCATCACATGAAGCATGTTGTTTCAGAACACAGATCCCAACAGTGGTGTCTTCAGTAGCCTCGTTGAAGGAATCCTTACCCATGCCCTGTAAAAAATGCATAAAGGAAGGTAAATAAAAGAATGCAAATAAAACCTGTTAACCAAGAATCATCACAAAAAAGAACATGAAAATGGGCAGGTGTGGCAGCAGCGCAGATCAAGACAAGATCAAGTGAAAATTAGAATAACTAGAAAAAAATGATAAAGACAAGGACAATTAACTATAGTAAAACAGTAATCACCAAATGGGTTTTTTTAGTTGATGTTTAAACCACATGAACTCAGTTGTGGCCACCGTATTGCCACACAAACTTTGATCATCATGTTGGCAGCTGACATTGTTTAATCATCTTACAGTGGCTTTAGTCACGATATGTGGTGCTGTTTAAAAGACAAAATGCCAAAGTTGTCAGTGTGTCTGCCATCTACCAAGTACTTAAAGGAAAGAACAGACGTGACAAAATGACACATGAAACAAAAATTAGATCAACTGTGTGTTAAAAAAAAAGGATTGTCATAAAACTTGAGCTGTGGCCAGGACACCAACAAAAAGAATGCCAACAGAACAGTGAGTGTGTGAAGGTCTATAACTGGGATTAATTTAACTGATTTATCTTCTTCTTGTTTAAATAACATTTTCTTTCCAAATGATCAACGATATAGCAAAACAAATATATTATATTGATACCAATGACAGCCACCTTGTCTGAAGTCATTTTTCATATGTTAAGTTACTTTAACTGGCGACTAACAAACATTGTTGTGATGTTCTTATTGTATGAAAGAGTAAACACAAGCAAAACATATATTGACCAAAGAATAATTTCAGTTCAAGGGACTGAACAGGAAAACAAGAGAAAAGTGGAAAGTGTGGCAAAAAGTAAGCACTAATTGATACACATACCACGTAATCCTACATGAGGTTTTCTGGATTTTAACTCATGTCGATACAGAACCTCTTGAAAAAGAGGCACTCTTTTCCAACATCCACATAATCACACTGCCAGTCACTGTTGTAAACTGTCAATGGGAACATTCTTACTCTGAGAATATAACACCAGGGTTCCTATGATGACAAAAAGCCTTGATGTGAGTTCCAAATTGCGCCAGAAGGAAATTGACATGAAAAAGACAGAATGAGAGAGGAAACAAATGGAAATAAAATAAGGATTAAAAAAAGAGTTTCGACCTGTTTTTTTTTTTTTGTTTGTTTGTATGTTTTTTAAAGATAAAAAAGGTTAAAACAGAGAAAAACATGGACAAATAGTGGAAGAAGAAAGCTGGCTCAGGCCTTGTTGGCCTTCCCTTGATGACTTCTTGCCAATAAATTATCTGGTAACTAAAACACTACCAGGGCTGCACGGTGGCTCAGTAATTAGCATTGTCACCTCACAGCCAGAACATCCCTGGTTCACATCCCAGTTAGGACACCCGGGATCTTTCTGTGTGGAGTTTGCATGTTCTCCCTGTGCAGCATGGGTTCTCGCCAGGTTCTCCGGCCTAATCTCAAAGTCCAAAAACATGTTGAGGTTAATTGGTGATTCTAAATTGTCCATAGGTCCATAGCCCTGTGATAGACTGGTGACCTGTCCAGGGTGTCCCCTGCCTTCACCTTGTGTCAGCTGGGATAGGCTCCAGTACCCGGTGACCCCAGTGAGGATTAAGCGGTATATAGAAAATAGATGGATGGATAAAACACTACCATTTTCTATACCAGGGTTCGGCAACCTTAAACATTCAAAGAGCCATTTGGACCCATTTCCCACGTAACAGAAAACACTGACAGCCACAAAACCCTTTTGACATCTAAAATGAAGATAACACTGCATGTATTGTTTTTACCTTTATGCTATGTATAAAAAACTATAGTGTTGCATTTATGAAGTCAAACTGCTACAGAGGAAACAAAATGTCATTTCTGCATGCAACAAAAACATTTTGAACTCTGAAAAAACAAAGATGCTGGTTTGAAGGTTACTTTCTAATAAAATACTCAGCGTCTATTTGAGTCCTCCTCGTATTTATGAAATAAAAACCCAAATTTAAATCATCCACCTGCAGCAGCAGTCTGGTTGGCCTGCTGACTGCAGCTGGGATGGCTGACCACACTCCTGACTGCCTGTGAGCACTTTGGGACGGCGAGGAGCTCACGGCAGCACCGCTGCTCGCTGAGGACAGTAACTGCAGAACGATACGTGTTTTCACGTCAGAGTCTCCAAAACACCAGAAAGAGATTTGTCGCTAGTCGCTTTTGACAAAAAAAAGTCACCAAGAGGATTTGCAAAGTTGCCAGATTTAGCGAGAAAGTCACAAAGTTGGCAACACTGTGCGTGCCGGCAGGTGTCACACATCGGCGGTTGTGATACAAATTTTGAGTGACAAAAAATTAACATGTTTTATTTTATTGTTATAAGATCACCATAATCTTCAAATTAAGAATTAGATTTTAAAAACTAACGAACTAAAAGGAAATACATTTAAATTAAATACTCATTATTTATTTTCCAAAGCCACAGCAGAGGTTTAAAAGAGCCACATGCGGCTCCAGACCCGCGGGTTGCCGACCCCTGCTCTATACCATTCCACAATTGTAAAATAAATAAATAAATAAATAAATTGCAATATAGTGAAAAAAATAAAAATAAAAAAAGACAATGACAATGGGGGCTGCAAGGTGGCGCAGTTGGTAGCACTGTTGCCTCGCAGCAAGAAGGCAACAGCAGTGAAGCAGTGACGGGGCACTGGGATCTTTCTGTGTGGAGTTTGCATGTTCTCCCCGTGCAGCGTGGGTTCTCTCCAGGTTCTCCGGCTTCCTCCCACAAGGTCCAAAAACATGTTGAGGTTAATTGGTGATTCTAAATTGTCTGTAGGTGTGAATGTGCTTGGTTGTCTGTCTCTAAGTGTGGCCCTGTGATAGACTGGTGACCTGTCCAGGGTGTCCCCTGCCTTCACCCTAAGTCAGCTGGGATAGACTCCAGCCCCCCTGCGACCCTAGTGAGGATTAAGAGGTGTATAGATGATGGATGGATGGATGGACAATGACAATGGAGGTCCAGCTGAGACAGGAAATAGGGCTGAAGTGGGACAGTGGGGATTCTCTTAAACTCAGCACTGATCTGGAAATAGGTAATAAGCACAAAGAAATCAGAGTAAAATGATAAGCATCAGGGAGAAAGCCAACATCACACATACAACAGACTAGAACAGACCAGGGGGTACATAAAGCACTGACAATATATATATATATATATATATATATAAAATCACAGAGCTGCATGCACTCCGAGGGGGTGGAAGTGGGCAGGACGCACATTTAGCAGCAAAATTCAAAATGATAGCTTTCACAACAGCAGAAAAGTAATGAAGTATGGCAGAACTTACCATTACAGAACCTTTGAGTGTGTTTGCTATGCAAACAGGTTAATGGAAAATATTTATCATCAGTGACATGAACTGCAGATGGCCTGAATTAATTAGAAGAGGGTGAATAAATGACAAAAGCACAAAGCAAAAATGCCAGAGGCCTCTTAAAGCATTTCCTGTAATGCAGCACAATGGAGAGCTGTAGCTGATACTCAGTCCAGTTTGTCTCTGATTTTAACACAAGTTTAACCAATGTATGGACAGCATTTTTCAATGTGCTTATGTGAGGAGAGAGCCGACAAATAAGCTGGTAAACACAACGGTTGTATTATGTGATAAAGTGTCGCGACTTGCAACAGCTGAACTTGGCCCTCGACAGGTCATTCGTCCAGGTCTTGGTTTATTTGCCCCGCGTTAGTTTATGCACGCACGCCAATACTCCGGTGTATTACCGACACTTGCCTTTACCGACCAACACTCTGACTCCCTCACATACCACTGTAAACAGACCCAACCGTGAGACTTACACGGTCCGGAAATATCGGAGAAATTCCCTGGACACCGGCTGTGAGTAAACATAAACACCATCGTAAACAACGACAAACGCGATTATTGAGGCTCAAGTTAAGCTAGCTAGCTAGTGTCTGCGTTAGCTAGCGAAACTAGCTAAAACGTAGCTTATAGGTTTTTGTATGTACCAATACAAACAAGTCAACAGACTGTTGTAATTATCACATTTACATTCTGTTCAAACAGCAGCCTAGAAGTCTACACGAACACAAATAATAATAAATTTGATTACCTTACTTTTTCCGGCTGCGGCTCCAAACACTTTTCCCGGTCTGACCAATGCTTTTACGTCTTCTTCTTCTTCTTCTTCTTCTTTTATGACGGTCGCTCCTTATTGGTGCATCACCTCCACTCTTTTCTTTAAACTGACCAATGACACTTTTCCTCACACATTCCATTCCTAGTGGTAGCCAGAAATACTTTAAACCTACTTGATTAAATATTGTTCAGAGGAGGAACATGAAAGAATAAAAAACGAACCCAGCTACAAAGGTGATTTTCAGACCCTTTAAAAAAAAAAAAGTTTTTTGTTTTTCCCCATAATCCCACACCTTTTAAAAAGAATTAAAATCCCCAGTTTTGACACAATTCTCACATTTCAACAATGCCGGTGCTCTAACTGGACTCCTTAAGTAATAAAGGATCACAGCCCCTGGTGGGGACCCTATCTTTTGATTTTCTGCTTAGATAAACTGCCTCTTTTGAAAATTCAGCAGTCATCTTTCTTCGTTTTTTTTTTTGTTTTGTTTTGTTTTTTTAAATAAGGCCAACCACATATGAATATCTGTTCAGTAAATTGCTCTCTGAAAGATGTCAAACACGTACTAAGTGCTTTAAATGATCAAAACAGTCTTGGATACTGTACAAAACAATGAAATATGGTCTCTCTTACGAAACAAAAAGGATACTTCTCTGCAACTTTTGGATTTATCAGTGACACAACAAATGTATTCACTGTTACAATACAGTGCCAATTGTTTTGGTTAATGATGGTCTGGAAAGCAAGACCCACACAGGTTTATTATTACACTGGGCTTTACGATGGTTTCTTAAAATGTGTCTGTTCCATCTCAAAATTTTTCCCTTTTCAAGGCCTTGACACAACCCTGATAGTACCACTTGCCTCCATGGAAAATGTTGCAGTTAAATGAAATGTTTGTGCAACCTGTAACCTAAAAGCTACCTTCCTTCTGGCCAGATAAACTAAACCCTGTGAAATTATATGCCAAAGTGTCAGTGATCCCTTATGCCCTACATGGGAAATTTAAACCCCTTATGTTTATCTACTCTTCGACTGGATGTGTTTCTTGGAATTGTCTGCGACGTTCAGTTGTTCATGTGACATAAAAGAGTATATAAAAGCAGGACTATACCTTGGAATTGGAGATGGACTCAAGGAAGCACAGTCTGTTTCCGAAGCCTTCAGCAGCCAGACAGAGTTTCTGTTGCTCTTTGTGGATTGTAGCTGAGCACTGTAGGACCACCTCGTCATCCTAAACACACACACAAAATGCATAAATCAACATATTCATTAACTCAGAGTTGCACAACAATTTTTATGTTGCTCACTGTCAGCAGCAGCTTTGAACACTACAACACTAACACAGGCAGTCCTACACAGTTTAACCTGCTGCAGCTATAGCACCTCATCTTATCACTGTGAAGGGTGGTCAAAACACATTCATACATATACCCTATCATTTCACCATCAGTGCGCATATTTATGCATTTCTCTAATTTTCCAAATTAAGTGTATGTATTGCAAAAAATAGTGCCATTAGTGGGGAAATTGACAAAATGCCTTGACTCTGTACACTAACAAATCATACCAAAAGAAAATAATTCAATCTAGGTTGCTGTGCATTCAACTTCTCAAGATTCACTCATTTTGGAAGCATGAAAAAATAATGGCAACAGTAATAAAACATACCATGAAAAAGTTATGCGCATACACACACATAAATTACATCTGTGAAAGTGTGTCATGGTTATATATGTATACACACATTGACCACTATACTAGATACCAACATCACTCAGTACAATAGCCATAACATCTATTTGCAGAAGAAGTGTATAACGTTTACACTGTCAGAAATGTGAAATTTCAATTAAAAGTTTTATAACCGTTGTTGTATTATTGAGGTCATGGTTAAAGGAGGTTTTTTATTTGATTACTGCACATTGCATTTTTAGTCCTAAAATGTAGCATGTTGGACACACATCTGAATATGATGTGGTCCTGCACAACACCAGCACTAACTATGTGCACAATGCTAAAACATTGAGCCTCTATGTGAGCATAAAAAATAGGTTTATGGATATGGTAATAGTAAATTTTACAACCGTGTTATTGGATTTCAAGACACTATATGGGTTTAACTAATAAAATGGCCACTGAGTGTATGTGGACACCCACCAATCCATCATCTATACCTGCCTTATCTTGTAAAAGGTTGCAGGGGGCTATAGACTATCCCAGCTGACACTGGGCAAGAAGAAGGTTACTGCTTGGACATCACACGACTGTGTAAGTTTCATGTAGCTCATTTAGGTGTTACTGTTTTTCTAGCAGTTTTAGATGTATAGCATGTTACTGATGCTATGCTTTCACATTTTATGTTGTTTGAGGAAAAGCAAAAGATAAGAATTTTCCTAGACAATTACATACACATAGGGTCTGTTAGGGCAAGACAATACAGTTATTACACATTATTATTTATAGGTATCTTATAGCCTCAAAGCTAGACAGCTAGATGCACATACTAGACAAAACCCTGCCTCATGATCGAGGACAATATGTTTTAATATTCATTTGGAATGTCTAGAAATTATTTCTATAAGCTCTACACTCTCAGGATGTGCTGTATTATGTAAAGAATACACAGTATTCTGTGCCGGCATTGTATGTTCATAATGGACAGAATTATCCATTATTAACATAATTTTTAACAATACCAGGCTGAGTATTAATCAGAAAAATGTAGCATGTCTAAGAAGATTTAGGAACATGTTTCCTTTTTGTAGAATTAAAACAATGTTTCTAAACAACTGAAATGATACAGATAACGTTTCCTGTTCAGTTTAACTCACATTTTAATGAGGAGTTTGACTGAGACAAGGAAGCACGCAGTGACATCACAAGGCAAACTAGCATTGCATGCTCACTCACTCACGTCAAGTCTTGTGTACACTGAGGCACAGTGTGACTTAATCATGTGTAATCATCATGGCTAACATAAGCTTCTTATCAGTCAGTCAGACAGTAACAGCACTGCAACATGAAGGGAATCTCAGTGTTACAATCAATTAAAATTCTGTTCTGTTCACATGTTATAGCAGCTAATCCTGCTGTAACTGAGATTAATGCAATCGTATGTGTGTAATCAAGCACAGTTGGACAGTGGAAATGATCTGTGGCTTGTGGGCGCACACTTTGTACCCACATCCATCCCAGCATCCTTCACTGTCTGTCTAAGTCTTAAGTAAGGGCAGGGTCATTCACGTCCTGCTGCATCCTTCTCTATATATTCTCTACAAGACTTGTTTGCTACGTATGAGAGGGTCTGAGACATCTGCAAATCACTCCTTGACAGATGCTTTAGGAAGATGTAGGAAACCCACTTACATTGACCAATATCTTAATTTTAACACATAAAAGAGGTGAGAATGTTGCTAGACAGAGCTAAATCTCTTGTCATTGACAAAGGGGTTTAACTGGAGAAGGTGAAGCAGTTCAGGGAGCACTTAGGACCAAGGTACACGGTAAAACGATGAATGATGAGAATCCACCAAACAAATTTCAGCACAGACACTGTCAAATCAGCAGGACCACCAGAATCTATCCATCTATTTAGAGTCTTTAAGTCATAGGGCGTCAGCACTGACCACAACCTTTTTAACACCTTAAAAGTCCTGCTGTTACACCTTAAGGACCGAACAGGAAGACTGAAGTGGTGTATGATATCATCTAGACATCACTCATCAGTATGCAAACACCAAAACAAAACAAGTCATAGGATCAACAAGCAGGACTCCCGGGAGGGACCTGAGACAGGTCAGTGAGACAGTGGGACAGTCACAGCTGACCCTGTCAGAAACAGGCTAATCATCTGTTATCATGTCACAGATGTCCCATGCTAGGGACATGTGCTAACTGATAAACTACCTTTACTTCAAATGCGCAACTCCATCCACTGAAGGCAAAAACTAATGTTGCATAAGATCAGGTAATTATAGAGTCAGAAATTAGTGTAACCTGACTGAGACACATGACACACTGGTTCCCAACCAATCATAGCTTTATGTCTTTCACAGTATATATGACACGATCAGAAAGCACGTGCCAGGGAACAACTACCGCAACAACAAAGAAGTGGTATGATGCAAAAGATGCTCGTTGTTCTGAGATGGTGCACTCTGTGCTCTTACCGGTCAACATTATTGAACATGTTGCGGAAGCTGTCATACAATGCGAAGCTTGTCCATTTGTGACTAGCCTTGATGATGATGCATCCAAGATGAAGCATCGCTCATCGTCAACTATGAAGTCCAATACGGTTGTCATGATTCTATGAGTCATGGTAAATTTGCACTCTTTACCTCAAAGAAAGCGCAAAATTAGTATGACGCAAACAGACACAAGAGCTACCTCAGTGAGAAATACAGCAGGTCAAAACTAACTAAATGATCCTTCAAATTAATCTGAAAATGATGTATTTGTTCAAATGCTGGCTTATCGTTGTCTAAAGGGTATACAAAAAGATCTAAAGAAACATTGTTGAAGTGTGGAGCAGTAAGATGTCGAGAGCAGCTTTATCAATCCACACACTTGAAAGATTAAATGGCAAAAATGTGGAGATGTGCAGCTACTACAGCGTGATCACTGTCTTCCATCAGTCCCACCTATTAACAAAACAGAGACGCAATCACATGTGTGCCTCTGGCAAAATGCACATACCAGCTCAAATTTCCTTTTTACATCAAGTGCTTTGCTCGATCTTAGTCAATCTCCTTTCTCTCTCTCTCTCTCTCTCTGTCAGTCCCCCTCACTCGCTCTTCTCTACCTCTCTCACCAGAGGACAGCCTAGTTCGCCCACTCACTGCAGTGCTCCCATGCCATGTGAAGACAAGCAGTATGTGTGTTTGAGAGAAAACCGAAGCATATGACACTTTCTATGTATTTTTAAAAAATAAATTCGACATAATCGATGATCTCAGCATACTTTCTGCAGCATAGTCTGGATGCTTTACCAGAATATGACACTGAACATCTATATTATGTATGTGTACTGCCAGTGTGTTTTTACATTTTGCTTGTTGTTGTGCACCTTTTGACAATCTCGCGTGCATTATTATTGTTATTGCTCACCAAGTTGAATGTGTTCAAAACATAGACTCTTTAAAATAGTGGACACAGTCGCCACAGTGTACCCCAGGTATATGATGTGTATCTAAATGTGTTACGTGGATACTTTGCCCGTTCACCCTGTAGTTTGTAAAGGTCTGGCTGCACTTCAATATCATTCTGCTATAGTGGGGGAAATGCACTGGCTTGTTTGTACTTCTTTAAACCAATCACAGTCGTCTTAGCGAATGATGCAGCTTCGGTGTTCACTCAAAAAAGTGACAGCTGGAATAGTTTTGGTGGAACATTTGCATGCAGGGAGACGAGTACTGTGATTAAAAAGGATAATCCACCTCAAAAAAATAGCAGAGCTGCCTTACTGTATGATCCAAATCCTGTTCAAAACTTTCATTTTCAGTATTATTTTCAGTGCAGTAGGTTGCAGCCGGAGCTTGTTGTTGTTGTTTCCTGTGGAGGGTGAGGGAATGCTGACTGAGAGTACCAGCCAGTGGCAGGCTTATACCCACGAACTGCATCCGGTGAGTCAGACAAGCTGGATACTGGCATCTAATCCATAGGTCTTAGGCATTGTCACATGCATTTTCAATACATCAGTTATCCCTCATGTGATCTAATATCGCTATTCAAATTAGTTAGGGTTGCACGTCTCAGGAGAGCGGTGCTGGTGTTTCAGCTATTTTTTTTTTTTTTTTTTTGGTCAAATGCTGAACCAATGTTTGCATGTTCTGTTTGTGCCTGCGTGGGTTCTCACAGGATGCTCTGGCTTCCTCCCACAATCCAAAGACATGCTGAGGTTAAACAGTGATTCTAAATGGCAAATAAATTCCAAAGAAAATGTGTGTGGTGAGAATGTATGCTTATAAATGAAGGACCAAGTAAGCAACATTTATTCAAAGAAATGGGGTCATGAATTCAAGGATATCTAATTTAGGGAATATATAATGGTGTAGTATATTTGTGGGATTATTTTAGAAATTATTTAATCAATTTCACCCTGAATATATTTGTCAAATGAAAACCCAGTGCGAGAGTAATTCAAACACATACACACAGCAGCACTCTAATTGGCTGTTGGGTTGGAACTGAGAACGCAGTGGATTACTTTTATTCTTAAAGGCAATGTTC